AATATTGAATGATAGATGGTTCGATATAAGTCTTTGATGTCGTTTAAGAAAAGCAAAAGCCCAATCTCTACCAGGTAAATTATCCTTTAAACGAGTCTCATTTACACTTTTATCCAAGTAATTTTTTTGCAAAAAGCCTTAGGTCTATTAAGTCGAAGGGAAATCCCCATGCTGCCACAATATTTACGTATTTGACAAACCGTTCCTCTTTTTCCGTAGAAAATATTGGAGGTCTTACCGTTTTTTTAAAAACGTTAACCCCTCTAGCTTGTCTGCTTATGGTTGCGACGGGAATTTTAAAACGCTCAAAGGCCTCAGTCAAAGTTAAACGCCTTCTTTTTACCGCCTCTACCGCTCTGGTCAAGGCATTTTCTGAATAATGCCTATGGGGCACGTAATTTTTGCTGTTTCTTAGGACAAATTTAACCATAGCTGGACTCTTAGTCTATATGAGTTTCTAAAGAAAATTATTTCTCTTATCGCTATTTATTTATTTACTTTTTACAATTTTATAATTTTAGAAATATTTAAAATTTTTGTACCCAGACAGCACACTATATCCCTGGCATATGCGACCAATCTGCCTATTTGCCAAAATATATTACAATATTTATGAAATATAGAATATATTTCATATTCTACACTCTAAAAAGATATTCCAGGCATATGTATTTTTTGATGTGCTCAGCATATTCATCTTTTATATTTTATAGATATCTCTGTATGTTGTATTTAACTATTTTGTTTTATTATCTATAAGTACAAATGAAGACATAGTTAACAGGGTCATCCTTGTTTAGTTTATAAAGACTTAAATGAAACAAAAACGTGAACTTAGAACTCCGTAATGTAACTTTAAATCATTATCATGCAAATAATTAATAAAAAAAATGAAACCTTCGAGATCAAATTACCTTTCTCTACATAGCATATTTTTTGAATAAAATGTTCATAAATCGTAAGAAGTTTCTTCTCTTTGGAAAGAATAATATTTCAAAGATATCTAAACCTAATGAATAACATATTGTTAGTATTAAAGTATAAATTTGGAAATCAAAATATGGGCTATTTAGACAAGGCACTATGTAATCCTATTTTTGTTTTTTTAAGGATGTGTAGGAAAATCCACAGTATACAAATGGCAACGGAAAATAAAAAGGAAGCCATTACTATGAATAAAGTGACCCAAAGATACTATGGAAGTAAGAATTACTGTAATGTGTGTCTCAAGATTTTGAAATATTCTATTTTTACTGATATTTTTATCTCAATTCTAATACTTATTATTAAAAGCATCAAAATGTAAATAATTTATAAATATCTCATAATACATATACATTACATATCTTATATATAATTGTCTAGGAAAAAAGTACGTAAGGAACCTTAGCAAATAAATTTAAATTTACAGTTTTTTGTATGTATGTATGTAGTTTTTATTTTTTGAAAATTTGCTTTATTTTTCAAATAAAATTTATGTTGTATTTAAATATAGGTTTTATTTCCTAAACAAAAAATTTTTGAATATGCCATAAATATTCAAATTACCATGAATATAGGCATACATAGATATCCTCAGTAAATCCAGAGAATATGCCATACATATATTTTGCAGATAAAAACATATCGTGGGCATATGTTTCATGGCGAACTTGAATATTCCTAAAATCTTCCTGTCATAGGCCACGGCATAAAAAACAATCGACAGGCCCACTCTCCGCTGATCGCATACAAATATTATACTAAGAAAATTTGACCTTGACGACGCCATTCGGGGGTCTTAGTCAGGGTCGGATTAAGGCGTATTTAAAGATTTTGTAATAAAATAAGGTATTGATAGGCAGGATCGTATTAAAACAAAAAAGCTTCACAGATTGCGCCAAATAATTAGCTTGTTTTTATTGATGGTCTTAAAATTTCTATTAATATTTTTAAAGTGAAATATATGAGCAGCCTTAAATATAACTTAGGACCGATTCCACCGTTGTGTTAAACGAAGTTTAAAATTACATTTTTACTTTAACAATGTCATTTTAATCTCCGTTTAACACAACGGTGGAATCGACCCTTAATAACATATATTTATGGAAATCGGGGACAAGGAGCGTCAAATGTTATCTTGGAATTAATTAAATCTAAAAAAAATTACAAACGCCGGATTTAGTGATAAATAATTCAAAATTGTGATGAAAAATTATTTCAATTTTTGTTATTAAACATATAAAACTATTATTTGACATTTTTAAATTGCCAAAAATATCTTTATTTGTTTTTTTTTTTTGTATGCTTTATAATAACAATACATGGAGCTTATATCCAAGTCATCGTGTGTTAAGGCATATTGTGTACATACATCGCAACGTTGAATTTTAAGACATTTTTTTTATTAAAAATCCGCATATATAATAAAATTTTAATATTTTGTGCATGCAATTCATTAATATGCTTGTTTATATTTACATTTTCGACAATATTGCCACAATGGTGGCATTTTCCAAAATCGCGTGTAATGACACGCGATTTTGGAAAATGGCTCATCCTTACTAGTCCTACGAATTTCATGTAGCCTTACAAGTAAAGCATCCCCACCTGTTTCGCAGTTTTCAGTTCCAGAATTTAATAAATTTAAACATTGCAATTTTTTGAACGTCCTTTGAATTTGGACCGATGTACGGTTTACACAGTTACCATCTGGAGGAAGGATATTTAAGAGTTGCAGATTCCTCACAGAAATTTGGCAGCATGTTTACCTTCAGCGACATATGGAATAGTTTTGTGCAATTAATACTCAGTCGGTAATATAGAAAGATGTAATGCTATTTTAGCTTGAAAATTGGCGGGCTTTTGAATTTACTTCGACAAAATATAAGAATTTTACATTTTTAATAGCACTGCTTAAAACACATGATTTTGATTGTGACTCATTACTAATTCACTACTTATAATTTCTTTAATGGCTAATTAAGATTTTCTTGCTTTTTGTAATGAAAATACTTTAGATTTACCAAGATTATAAAGCTTTTTCGCATATCTAGAATAATTATGAAAATGAATATCAGAATTAAATTTTTGTTAAGCATTTCAATATTTGGGAATAACACAATTACGATTAATATTCATTTTTTTTTTTCAGAAAAAAAAATTATTCCTTACAAAAAATTCTGCTTGTTGAAGAAAATTACAAGAAAAAGTTTCCTTTTAAAGTTATGAAGGAAAACCGAAAGGAAAACTGTGGCTTTTCTTCGTAAAATCAATAAGGTAATACAGATTTTTTCCTTTTGTCAATTTTAAGATTCTTCATTTATTAAGACCATGTACACCTGACCTAACATATTAATATATTAAACCTATTTTTTCGTCAAACAGAATTTTTTTATAATGACTTTTTCCTTAAAATAAAAATAAAGATTTTTCCATTTTGTCAACTCCATACGGGAGATGTTTAAAATATAACATTTTACTTTAAATCTTAATAATATACCTACATAAGTAAATATAAATTGACGCTAAACTTTACGTGACGTTAACTAGGCACCTACCTACATCTTACTAATAGCTTTATAACTGACAAACTGACTCATAAACTAGGATTTTTTTAAAAGTATACCATACATACCTAATAAGATCTTTAAGAAACCGAAAAAATCTTTTAATACAGTTTATTCATATAGTTTTTTGCTGCACAACTTTGCCCAGACATAGTAAAACACTTAAAAATTAACAAATTAAAAATGGAAAACAACTACTATATAAAAAGTGTCAAAAAATCTATAATTCTAAAAAAATAACAATAACTACATAATACAAACATCACAAAATAAATTTAAGATACACGCTACTGATTCCGTGCTACTGCAACTTGTTTGTTTTTGTCGATATAAACGACGACAGTGACGCCACTGGCTTGATTGAGAGGTTGGACCCCAAAATGGCGGTGTGCGCGTAGATGTGCGCGTAGCGTTGCCGCCAAGACAAGTTAGCCTGCCGATTGTTTATTATGCCGTGTCATAGGCCATGGCGGTTTTGACATATCCATGGAATATAGGAGTATGCAGTTGAGTTATGCATTGAATAATATGGAATATTTTTGTACTGTCTGGGTACCTATATGTAAATAGATGTCTTAATGTAATACTTTTTATAATGACTACCAGATTTTTCGAGTTTTATATTTTATCTCTCATTATAGATAATCCTATTTTAGTGTCCTATATTTGAATTAAATGAATAATATTACCCTGCACCCTACAGTGTGCTACATCATAAGTAAAAGTACTAGTAAAAGAAGAAGATAGAAAAGTCTAGAAATGTCCAGAAATGTTATCCAGTGTTTAGAAACATCTGGATGTTTCGAGAAGGTTCTAGAAGGTTCAATCGAGCTATATAAGTCGATGATCCTGACATCAGAGTTGAGTTTTATGAGTTATACGTTTATGTTATCATTTATATAGTTGAATTATGAAAGTTGAGTTGAAATAAATTAACTTACCAAAAACCAGCGTAACAATATCTTACAAGATCTTACATAAAAGGCGATTTTTATTTAAGGTCATACATTACTCTTACCAATTCACTTTCAATAGGGAAGCATAAAACAAATATGACTCATTATTGAAAAGGCAAGTTTTGGGAAATTCAGCAATAGGATTGTTCATTCCATTACTTTTGGTTTTAGCGCTATCTAGAGTAAGGTGATCAATCAGTCCTTATTTTGTTGGTTTTGCCCTTTAGCGAAAAGTGTCCTCCTGCTTATCCTCCTTTTCGATATTTTAAAAGTAATCTGCTTCTCTCTCTATGTTGTGTTGATACTCCAGTGCGAAGTGCGTGTGATTATGACTATTATTTTCTTCGCGGAGCCCCCACAAAAGCTTTTCGGAGCCCCAGGGCTCCGTGGAGCACACTTTGAGTATTACTGACTTAGAGGATCCAGCATTGTTTTTAACATTTATAAAATTAAATGCGTACCTAATTTAAATCCAACGTACGATATGTTTGTATATATTTATTTTATCTAATTAGATAATAATCTAATTACTTAGTTACAGGTAGTTATCACATTAGAAAAATCTAGTCCAAATTAATTACTACATTAAAAAGAAATCGGGGCCTATAAAATTTCCACACACTGGCAATTCACTTGGCGCTTCGACAAGGTCACCCGTGTCTCCAACTTGAAATAGGACATCTAATCCCCTAGTCCATTCTTGAGCATTTTCGTCTCGAAGAATCCAGAAACCTTAAAAAAAATTTATTAGAGTAAAAATAATATTCAATATAGCTGCTCACAATGCGACCCTCTATGAGCAATCTATTTAAATATACCGGGTGTTTAAATTGAACCGTTACAGCTATATACCGCTTTTTATAAAAAAAAACGTTTCAGACGAAAGTTTTATAGTTTTGTGGAGAAAAACTTTTGGCTAAAATCGTTTTTTATAGCTAACCATAATATGGCCATTTTTTTTCGCGCAGCAACATTTTCAAGTAGCTGTTACTCAAAAAGTAAAAGTCCAATAAAAAAATATTTCCCTCAAAAGTTTCTTATTTTTTTATGTACTTTAAGAATATCTAAGAAAAAAATGGGATTCTCATTTAAAAAAACAAAGTCCACCTCGATATGGCCATATTATGGTCAGCTATAAAAAAATGAATTTAGCCAAAATGTTTCCCCCAAAAAACTATAAAACTTTTGTCTGAAACTTTTTTTCTAAAATGCATATTTTCGGCGGTATTTAACTGTAACACTTTAATTTGAACACCCGGTATATTATTATATCATTGACCCTGTCAAATCCAACAGGTAGCCATTTGGACTTCTTTGGAATGCCTAATAAAGGGTGTTTCAATAAGAGCGCATGATTTGAAAGTTCAATAAAACATGTTTTTTGTACCAAAGGATTTAAATATTTATTGTATTTGAAAATTATGTATGGAACAACATATCTGTGAAAAACCGTCAAGGCTTTGATGGCACCTTCGTACCCTTTCTGTAACATTTTTAATAACCTTGTTGCATATATGTGGCCGTATTTCGTTGACACAGTGTCTAAATTCAGCCTTTAATGCTTCGATGGTCGCGGGTTTGTTGGCATAAACCTGTGACTTCAGATAACTCCACAGCCAGAAGTTTAAAAGGTTCAAAAGTGCCAATCGCAAGAGCGTAGCGGCCAATTGAGTCATCAAATCGGAAGATCACAAGATCAGGAAAAGACTCTTGGATGTTTCAGGGGAAATATGGTAAGTTCTGCTAAAACCATGTTTACTAACTTCCATCTGACTCCTAGCGTCCTGACATGCCATACTCACGTAATATCATAACAGCCAAACTGGAGCACAATTAAAATCTTGCGTTCGTATTCAAATACCCTTCAGTTTGAATGAACATCGATACCATGTTTTAAATAAGAATCCCTTCAATTTAAATGATTTCAAAGACACTAATTTGTACAACAAAATTTTATTGTATTATTACTGTATCAAGGGCTATAGAGATTCATTGATTTCAAATAAAAAAATTGAACGATTTTTTAAAAAATATGATTGTTTGTACCTGGATTGTCAGCTAAAAATCTAATTGCAACCATTCCATTTTTGGGTACCCTAATAGTACTTTTTTGAACTGGATTTTTAAGGTTCCGTTTAATGAAGTCAAAATTTGCATCTAATGCTTCAAGTTCCAATTTTGAAATCGGTTTTTCCATTATTTTTGTACCGACTACATACACATGATAACCATGAAGATGAAAAACATAACCATCTTCCTCTCCACCTAGAAAGAATAGTTTTAATTTAAATTTCTTTATACAAAGACACTATAACTAGGTATTACGAAAACTACAGAAAATAGGTTAATATATATTATTATTCAGTGCGTGGGAATCTAAGTGGTCGTCTTGTTCTTCTAAACTCAGTGAAATTAAAAATAATGTGAAACCATGGTCATCACTCCCGCGAAACCGTAGTGATCAAATTTTACTAACCAGGCTACGTTTGGGTCATACACGACTAACACACAGTTATTTATTTAGCTCAAAAATAGAACCAAAATGTAGCCACTGCGACATCAAGTTGACGGTAAAACATATACTCGTAGACTGTCCTTTTCTTGCACCTCAACGTATTGAATCAAACCTCCCAGCTGGTCCAATATCTAACATTCTAGGTTCTGCGTGCGATATAAACAGTTTAAAAAGATTTTTGAAATCCACCAACATACTAAATTCTATTTAGTTATTCTTATATATTGTCATCTTTGTTTTGTATGTACTACACCAATTTGTAATCTTACAATTCGCTAATAACCTTTGTGGTTGATGCGACTTTTCTTCAAATAAAAAAAAAAAAAAAATATATTATTATCTATGAAAGTGTCTCTCTCCTATGTGTATTGTACGAAGTGATCCGTGAAAAATGTTTCTATAGTGAGCCTTGGAGAAATTCAGGTATCTTGGAGTCTACAATTATTCTTCAAGTGTCAGTTTGTATTTAATTCAGAGTCATGAGTAGTTATCACGGATACGACTTTGTCTTTGTCGGTCAAGGCCTACTAAGTTTTGTTGATCACTCTTTCCCATACAGCACAAATTTCGGAAATATTTTAAAAATATTACATTGAAATATTTATAATGTATAAATAATTCCAAACGCCCCAGAAACATTTCTGGAATGTTCCCAAAATGTAAAAATGTCTTGTAAATGTAAAATATTTTATAGTAATATTTAAAATAAAAATTTGATACCTTTCAGAAATATAACATAGTAATATTTCAGAAATTTATTATAGTTTTGTTTCATAAATAGTTTGAATCGTTGTAGAAACGTTTCTGAAGTATTTATGGAATATCAAACTAGGTTTTTAATGCAATATTATACTGTAATATTTTTATTAGACTAAAAGAGACATTTAAAATAATACATGTACCTATATTTAAAATACACAAAACCAAAAAATTAATAAACCAAAAATTTTTTTTTTTAGTTATTATTACAAAATAATATAAAGGCAAATCGCTTCATTTCCACTAATTCTTTAAAAGCATTACCTGAAACAAATTATAGGTACCTAAAAAAGGATTTGAAACAATTATTTGATTAACAATAGTTTTATTAATATTGCTTTAAGTTAAATAAAACATGAAGCTTTTCTATCGGAGTTATAGAAATAATAATTAAAACTGAGGGAAGGGATAGCAAATGTAGCTTATATTTAGATAAAAATTACACTAAAACTTCCAGCAAATGCGATAAAACAAATGGCGTCACTCGTCAAAGTGAATGAGGTAAAGTAAATTAACCTAACCTACAAGCTTTATTTTTGTAGAAAACTTTCCTCAATTACTAACGACATATTCTGCTTCCCACACAACAACACAACGCACAAACAACAAAAAAGCAAATAGGCAAAAACCGACAACAAACGCATACTTAAAATTATTTAGAATATGGGGTTATCTCTGAATATAAGATAAAATAAAATTATTTAGAATAAAATGACTACATAACCCATCTTCTTCCTTTTCTTTCAAATGCGAAATTGTTTATTAGGTAGGTATTGGCTTTTTACAACATAATTCGTTTTATAACCTTTTGTGTAACATTTATGACCTAATTCAGGAACATTTTCAGTAAAAGACAACTAAAAATATTTCAGAAATATTTCAGAAACTTGTGCTTAAAATGTTATGTTTGAAACGTTTAAAATATGTCTGAAACAATTCTGAAATAATGTGTGCTGCATGGGTTACTATATAATAATAATAATAAATATACTTTATTCTATAAACATAATTATATAATTACATCAAACTAATCGTTTTCAGATAAGAAAAAGTACAGCAATCTACGAGGTATAATGTAATACCTGTATGTAGGAAAATATAAACAATACAAAATAAAATATAAACTATTATAAAACCACATATTATATGCATGTAAGAATGATTGTGATGAAATTCCAATAATGTAATATGGGTAGCTAAAAATAAGTCTAACTATATAACTACATAACTACATAATATTTTAATAACATGAATAACTTGTAACTCTGAAACGAACAATTTATTTTCACATTTACATTTAGATTAGTGTTCTATCAAATTAGCTATTTCGTGTCTTGACGATTGTTTTAGGAATTGTTTCAGAAAATGTTTAAATCTAGAAAACGTTTCTTGCTGTTTAACTTCCTCTGGTAAAAAATTTAATATCTTTGGCCCTAAATAAAGAAAGCCTCGCTGTCCAATGGCTTTATACATATACGGAATTCTAAATTGGTCTTTTTGTCTAGTAATATATGTATGTGACAACGTTTTGAAAGAATTTTTTTTAGAGTATATAAAGGTACTTAGCCTTAGGAAATATAATTGTCTAATATCAAATAGCTTTGATTCTTCAAATAAGTTATCACTGGGGTATCTCAAGTTCTTATTTAGAATTATTCTAATAAATCTTTTTTGTATCACTTCCAAAGGTTTAAGATTGAATTTAAGTACACCGCCCCAACCAATTATACCATAATTTAAGTGTGATTCAGCTAGACTATAATAAACTATTTTTTTCTGTGATTCATCAAGAAAGGCAGATATTTGTCTGAACCTATATAGTACAGATCGAAGTTTTTTTACTACTTTTTCCACATGCGAATGCCATCTGAGATGATTATCCACTACTATACCTAAGTACTTGATTTCCTTCGCCGATGAGACCGTAATACTCGCTCCGATATTTAGATGGTCGTATTTAGGTAAGTAAGATGCGTAACTTGTGAAAGGTAGGTAAAGTTTTTTTAAAGTTTATTGACAAAAGTCTATGATCAAACCACCTTTTGATAATCGGTAGTTCAATTTCGATTTTAGTTGTTAAGTCTTCCCATGTTTTATCACTGAAGAGTATTACCGTATCATCAGCAAAAGAAATTGTTTTACCTTCCCCAGGAACTTGGAACAAATTGTTTAAATATATATTAAACAGTAGAGGGCCTAACACCGTCCCTTGAGACACACCACATGAAATTATTCTCTTATCACTATATCTATTGTTTATTTTCACACACTGTTCTATGAATGAGTACAACACGGGAGTACCAAAAGATTCAGTTTTTCGCCAAATCTATTTTTATTAAGTATATTGTTATGTGAGCCATTTCATTATTCAGTCATGCTCTAACCCTACAAGTCCCTCTCTGTCTTATTTGGCCTTTGAGGCTCAACTTGTCCGATTATTATACATAATTAAACCCCTTAAGACTACACCTATGGGACGACTATGGCGGAGGTGATTTCGATTATGTTCGAGAAAGAACGAGATAATGTTTCTAGTGTGTTGGAGAGAATATGTGAACTTACTAGAACGTTCGCCATTTTTTTAAGTTTGTATATAAATAATGGTGGATGAGTAATCATCATCAGTTGATATATGGACAGTGAAGATAAATAGTAATTAGTAGATAGACAGTGGTGAATATAAATAGTGATCAGTTTAAAGACATTCGAAGTATATATAAATTAAAATAGTATTGTTTAAAATAAATAAGTGTTTAAATAAATTATTAATAAATAAACTGTTGTTTGAAAATAAACAAACATCACAATATCAACGATAAGAAATGATTTAAGAAATAATCCCTTAGAATATAAGTGATCAGAAAGAAGCATATCAAGGCTCCAACCTTATCATTATGAAGGAAGTCGGTCACCTTCAGGGACTATTTATAATTCATTTTAGCTAGGTTTAGATAGATGTTTACCATTAGGTTATCCGAGATACTGTGAGATAAAAGGCAAGAAGGTCATCTGCAGACACAAACTTGTTTACTGTCATTGGTTTATACGTGTCAGTTGTGATTTTTTGTGCATTTTTTAAAAATTTATTTTATTGATTCATAAATGAATATTTAATAGTTTTCCCGACATATTTCTTTGTTAAAGTCGTTATATAGCTTGTTATGTAGTTATATAGTAAAGTGTGGAATCCGTAGAGATCGCAATATTGTTAAATTTCAACTTATATGATGAACTGCATTTTGTGTATATAGAAGACATACGAAGTTTCAAAAACAAAATATAATAATTATATCCGAGTGTGTCGGGTAAGGTATAGTAACTTAATATTGACTTTTATTTAAAACGATACCATTTTATAGCGTTGACTGAGCTCTATCGAGAAATGGACTGATATGGCAATTATAAGGTAGGTACCTAACTTTTAAAAGAATGCGGTTAAAAGAAGTTATTTCAAAAGTATGACAATTCTATTAGTTTTATTAATAATTGTGATAAACAGTGTCAGTCCGATGTAGCAGCTGAGCATTTTACTCAAATGATGGTATCGCTTGTAACCACAAAAAATTGAAGATAAACCTAAATTACAATTTTTTTAAGATGATAAATTAATTTAAAAAACTAAATATTTGTGTCTATGTTAGGTATGTACCTACTCGTATATAATGAAGACTAAATTAAATATTTAAGTATATACCTATTAAGGTGCTTATAGATATAACGGGTTGGGACGCGTAAATAGAAAACCTACTTCAATACGTCCCCCAGGCAGTGACCAACTAGACTAGGGTTTTTATGAGTTAATCGTGCAGAAAACCTACTTGAATATATCATCGGATGGTGCCGTATTGGAGTAGGATTGCGCGTTATTACGCTGCCTAAACATGTGAAAATACTACTTCAGTACAGCCCTTGTTTTCTTGCGTAAAAAAACATGTATTTGCATAGTTTATTAATATTTTTTGTCATACTGTAAATTATTTTTAATATTGAAGGCTATATTATGTGGTTGCTTTTTGGCGCCCTAACTGAAATAGGTATCTTTAGCTCTTCGGCGTGAGGTAGTTGTGGGTTATTCTATGGTAAATTTCTGTAGATATAAGTTTTATTCAGTGATAATTGATAATCAAGTGGCAACATTCTTACCTGTAAATGTGGTGCTATTTGCATGGTTTATTAATGTTTTTTGGCACATTGTAAATTATGTACAATATTGAATGCTATATTATGGGGTCGCTTTTTGGCGTCTTGGCATTCTAATTTTGCAGGACGTCCAGCTTGAATTCTTCCTCCGGCGTGAAATAGATGTGTTGGTTGTACTTTACTTTTCCTTCATCTCCTACAGGCTGTTTTGTTATACACAAATGACATGATCTGTGATGGGATATTTAGAGTTTCTAGAATAGCAGCAAATTTCTGTATATAAAAAAGTTATATATAGTAATTGATATCAGGTTGCAAAATTCTTATCTGTAACTGTGGTATATAGCTCGTATTTGCTTCACTTTGTAAAACTTGACCAATGCATGTAAACTATTTGGTCAATTGGAATGTTGCTTCTAACTCCGCTTGCTGAGATGTAGTTTGATCAGATGTGTGTTCATTTGATGATCCTTCATGAACAGGTGCGTTGATGTCTTCAAAGAAAGACAGTGGAATTTCTTTTCCTAGAGCCAGATATGTAAGCTGTTGGCGATCCTTTTCAGATAGCAGCAGGGCAGATTTTAACATAATACCGTACTTATTTTCAACTGCTAGTAGGTGTTTGCAGAAGCGACCACCACTTTCACTTGAATAAGTGCAAAATCCAATTTCACTATCAACTACGTATTATTCTAATGTTCGTTCGCTCTGAAATTTAAATGTATTTTCATCAACCTGTATAACTTCGGTTATATTTTTGGATCTTTCAAAAAATTTCTGATAGTCCAGTGTCATTTTTCGGGATCTTGAATTAGCAAAATGTAGCAGTTTTTTTCACTCAACTTGCATTGAAAAGACACAGTATATCTTTCGTCATTTTGAACGTCCATTTTCACGATTCGCTAGTCAGTTAATATTGCACTATGTAATGTTTTAATAGTTTCTTCCATGTTATTGGTAGGTTAATTCACTTTTTGTTTACAAACAATCGAATACCGAGCCGCCGCGAGTTATAAACATAACCAAACATAACCACTAAAGGAACAGTTGCCGTACTAAAGTAGCAATTACAGAATATTACGCCGCCTAAAGATCGGAAATCCTACTCCAATACGGCACCATCCGTAGCTATATTCAAGTAGATTTTCTGCACGAATAACGCATAAAAACCCTAGTCTAGTTTGTCACTGCCCGAATGACGTATTGAAGTAGCATTTCTATTTACGCTGCTTGGTTCGTTATATCTATACATTTAGAAAATTTTCAAATCTTTGACTTTATCAATATTTTCTATTTTTTAGGTTTGATTCGGTTATTGTTTTTATCTTTGTAATGTTGTGATGGGATTGATCTCATAAAAAAACCTTTTACTTTACTCGTTTTATTTGCCAATATAAAACGAAATTATTATCACCCGTATGCATAGTCGATCGCCAGCGATTCGCCGGCGTATCACCAGCGATCCGCTGGCGAAAGTCCGAAAAGGTGGCGACTTGTTGGAGATTGCCACCGGCATCTCTCGCATGTTATTCATGATTCATTTCTTAAAACTCAAAAAACAATGAACGAATATCAACTTTTTCCCCATAAAAGAACATGAAAACTAATTTTTCCTATAAAATAACATGAAAACTGGCGATAGATGACATGCCGGTGACAATCTCCAGCAAGTCACCAGCGATTCGCGAGAGATTCATCTCGGCGGTATCAGCAGCGATCCGCTGGCGAGTCGCTGGCGATCGACTATGCATACGACTGTATATGAGTTTTATTTGACATGTGTGTCAAAGGTAAAAATTATTAAATTTACAATAAAAACTAAAAAGCAGTAGGTAACATTTAATGGCTCCTACATACGATCGGCCATCATGGGCGATCACAGGCTAGTGAAGTTATGTCTAATCAATCAAGTTCATTAAAGTCCACAAGACACAACTTGGTATTTTTTAAAACTATGGAGGCCAGGAAGTGGAGAGTTTTTACCATTTTACCAAGACGGATATAGCCGGTTTTGCACGCAAGAATATTGTAGTATTGAGAAGGCGAATTTGAGACTGTTTTTTATTTTTATTATTTTAAAGATTTTATAATGAATGTATTAATTTCTAGTCTGTTTTGAGAATTTTGTTACTAAACACCTGTGCTAACGTACGTTTATTCAAATAATTTTTACCTTGATCTACGAGAATCATTTCGGTGCTGCTGCCCAGAGGAATATGTTCTAAATGTACACAATCGCATCTATCGCCCTCTCGGCATCTCTCCGGTAAAAAGGATTCGTTGCACATTAGTTCCAAGGGCACATCACTCGGTTGTGTCAGCATTGGAGATGGAGGAAAAGTAAAAGAAATGTTATTGGTCCTGTAGTAACTCAAGGAAGCTAAAGATTTGTCTACAAATAAAATAAACTACATTTATTTATAGGATACTAGATTCTTACATAGTAGTACAGTTTTCCAGGTAGCAAAAGAATGTCTGTTAAACGTTTTCATATGATAGTAACATAAAAAAGAAAATATTATAATAAAGCAATAAAATGAAACAATATTTGAATAAAGCAATATATTTTGTTTATAAAATATCTATTAAAAATGTAAAATCCTCGAACAAATCACTAAATGTTTTATAAATATATTTTAGGTAATAGTTGATACTTGTAAGAACCCGGATGTTGAAACATTTAAAGATAATTAATATTTGACGTCACTAATGAACGGAATAAAAAATTATACCATTACGAGAACAGCAGGTTACGAAATTAAATAAAAAGTTAAAATTATAGTCAAAGGCCCGTGTATCTAAATAACACCGAAAAAATTAAAGGGGTGATTCTGTGATGAAAATTAATGTGAGTGTTTGGTATAAAATTTTTTGAAAAAACCCTCCCCGGAAAAGTTACACCCCTTCGAAAATTAAAAAAAATAAATGTTTTTCTTTTTTATTTTCCCTGTATATCAAGCTAAAGACACGAAACTTGGTAAACAGTATCTGTCAATAAAAGTACACTTTTTGAAATTTTTTCAACCCTGAAGTATGCTTAGAAGGGGTTGAAATAATCAACCCCTAAGATATTTTTTCTTACAACTTTTTTTTAGATGAAAATTTTTTCTTTAAAAAAGTATGACTGAAAAGCCCAATTCATTGACTAACTTTTTTAATTCTACAAGTTTTTTCTAAAACTTGAGCATTTACAAGAGAAAAAATCTAATGCAATGCATTTTCAAAAAGATGAGCTAACGCGAGTGTATTTTGCGTCAAGTCTAGTGGCCTGTGCTTTGCATAAAAACATTAATACTGATACCAGGATTGTGTAGTGTCATTTTCTGTTACCCATCTTATTGTTTCACAAGTTTTATAATTGTGTATTGTAGGAAATATTAGTTGATTGAAAATATGAATGCATATTCGAATTTGGAAATGGCAGATATGCATTTTACATACGGTCGTTTATTGGAAGCGCAAAGACTTTATGCTGAACAGTACCCACAGCGTAGACTATCCCATCATACTACGTTCACAACTATTCACCGACGCTTGCGAGAACGTGGTAATTTTGAAAAAAGAAGTTATGATTCTGGTCATACTAGAGAAGTTAGAACTGCAGCTGTAGAAGAAGCCGTACTTAATTCAATTGAAGAATTCCCAGAAACTAGTACCAGGAGAATAGCTCGTGTCCTACATGTAAGCCATTCCGTTGTTTTTAGAATTTTAAAAGAACAAATGTTGTATCCCTATCATCTTCAACGGGTGCAGGCGTTAATGATTCGAGATTTTTACCCCGTGTGATTTTTTGTCAGTGGCTTATTAATATGATTGGCCAAGCACCACAGTTCTTAGGTAATATTTTATTTACTGACGAGGCGAGTTTTTCAAGAGACTGTATTAGAAATTTTCACAACAATCACCTTTGGGCTGACGAAAATCCTCATGGCTTTTTTGAAGGAAATCATCAGTATCAATTTTCATTAAACGTGTGGCTCGGAATTATTGATAATCATTTAATTGGTCCCCATTTTCTTCCGCTACGATTAAATGGTGAAGCATATTGTCATCTCCTTGAAGAATTACCTGTTCTTCTTGAAGAGGTTCCCATTCAAATTAGGCGACATTTATGGTTTATGCACGATGGTGCACCAGCTCATTTTAGTATACGTGGAAGAACTCACCTGGATGAGGTGTATGCCAATCAATGGATAGGTCGAGGAGGACCTGTAAACTGGCCAGTTCGCTCCCCTACCTTAATCCTTTGGATTTTTGCATATGGGGATATCTGAAATCTTTGATATACACAAACCCAGTTGAAAATATCGATGATCTGCGAAACCGCATTGTAGCAGGGTGTGAAACTATAAGAAATTCTAGAGGAATATTTCATCGTATACGCAATACTATGAGGAAAAGGGTAGATGCTTGTATTGAAGCTGAAGGCGGTCATTTTCAACATTTATTATAATTGTATTATCGATATTCGACAGGATTTTGTTCATTGTTTGTTCACTTTTGTTTCTAGTTGTAGAAGTCTTAAGAATCATAATTTGGTTGGCTGTTGTTTAATAAAATGCTATTTTACATGAGCTTATTTATTTTTTTCTCATAAATGCTTAAGTTTTCGAAAAAAACTTGTAGAGATAAAAAAATTAGTCAATGAATTGGGCTTTTCAGTCATACTTTTTTAAAGAAAAAATTTTTATCTAAAAAAAAGTTGTAAGAAAAAATATCTTAGGGGTTGATTATTTCAACCCCTTCTAAGCATACTTCAGGGTTAAAAAATTTTCAAAAAGTGTACATCGCAGAATCACCCCTTTAATTTTTTCGGTGTTATTTAGATACACCCTGTATAGCGCAAAATATATCGGTTAATATTTATGTTTTATATTAGTTCAATATACAGTTGTCGAATCAAATGGCCTAAACGATACATACATAAATTATTTATCATTATGAAATTTAATGCTGATGAAAAAATTCGCGTCATGTTATTCCACAGAAGAGGGAACATGTTATTCCAATACACAACAAATAATTTAAACGACTGGCTCAACTCACTGGACAGTACACTATAATCCGCCCGAGTTCATCTCACAACGGCCCGGTCACGAGCATAGCATTATATTGAAAACGGTTACTTCGCACATGCAGAAAGTACGTGTTTACGTTTAAATATGGGGCTACCTGATCAAATGGCTCGGATTAGTTTTTTGAGAATTTCAGTCGCATGTTGGTGTGCCTATAGACCAGGGTGAATAATTTTTGAAACAAAAAAAAAATAATAGTAGGATGAAACCCATTGGAAAAGGAAGAGAATATAACAAAAATGAAAGGAAAATAATTTACGGGCGGTCTGAGGTCGGGAAGTGGATGGGTGAGTTTTTAAGGGTAAAAAAAGGTTTATCTCGATTTCCGGAAAACTATAAGTCTTATGGAAAAAAAGTTAAATGGCAAAGTGTTAGGAAAGTAATGAGATCTACTATTTTTCTATTTACACTTTTTTACATAACCTCAAAATTTATGTGAAAAATTCAAATAACCAAGCACCCTAATTTTCAATCGAAAATTCTCACGTCAAAATATCTGCTTTTTTAAAAAAGTTAGTGGACTTTTTGTTCGTTGAAATCTCTACTTTATGATGGTGTAAAAAAATATGTACATTACTATGGTAAATATTCACAGAAAATGTAAAGAAACTAAAAAAACTCGAATCCGAAATTTTTTTTAATCATTATGCTCATTTTTGAGCTATTTATTAAAATGTACACTTTAATTACTCGAAAAACGTAAGATTTCATGTTACATTGATGAACAAAAAAATTGCAAATCGAAATATACTACTATAATTTAAAACCAAATAAGTTAATATTTAATAAGACATCTACAATATTTTAAGAAAGTTGTAGAATCTTCTTTAAATTATATGCGTAGAGGCCTATTTATTGCTATTTTAAGATAACTTATATACCTGAGTGACCTACGGAAAATTTTAGCCCATCAAAAGCAGTGGCGGTTTGCCCGTAAGGGCACTTGAGCACGTGCCCTAGTATAATAAACCAAAAAAAAAATAATTTACATATTTTATATTTTCCTCAATGCCTATTATTATTTTATCTAATATTTAGCGCAAACCGCGTTGGCACGACACTGGACGACCGGGCGTTGAGCGACGTTCCGAGAATTCCGAAAGAAGATGGGCACAGGGCACAGTAAATGTGTGCCACTGTTGTTTTCTCTCTCATTATGATGCGAAAAGCAAGGACAATGACAATATCGCTTAGCAAGAGATGAACACATGCGATGGATTATACGTGACAAGCGGGGCGCTGTCCTAGACCAGATATGAATGTATGCAGAGGCATCTTTACTGGCTCCCTCACAAAGGCGAAGCCGGTTTCGGCTGAAGGTGCGCGTTTGTTGGACCATGATAATAATTTATTTATTGTGATTACAAGAAAACGTTAGTTGGACCATTGGAATAAATAAAACTACGAAGAAAAATAACTTTTTTTATAAAGCATTTAAAAATATGATGAAAAAAATCAATAATATTTATAAATGGTTAAAATTTTTATTTTTCTTTTGATTTTGTCTGACTTTTTCGAGGATTTTAAATCTCTGTTTGCATATTTAAGAGTATAAATAATTTAATGGTGTACATTTTCGAAAATTATTGGCAAGAATGACCAAATTCTATGTTGCTCATCTCAAAAAGGTATGCGTTGAAAATTCCAGGCTTAGTTGACAAACTATCGAATAGAGATATAAATATTTTTTCAAATTTGAATATATAAAAGAGACATTTTTTGCTGGGAGATTTTAAATTGCCAAACACCTTTTCTTAAGAGTCGTATGCTTTAAAATGCGTTAACAAGTTAGAATTGTTAAGTAAATTGCATTCTTCTGAGAAATTTACGCAAATTTCGCAAGAGTGGATATGTAATTTTTTAATTAAATAGCCACATACATAGTTAAATGCATTTTGAGTGGTCACATATTTAGCTCCCTGTAGTCACATTCAGAAATCGTTATTGCCCCAACTGATTGTTTTGAAATATATTTAATTTTCATTAAGCGGAAAACTTGTTTTCCTAAGGGAAAAACGAATCCCGGGATTTTTTTCCAGCGTGTGTCCCACTGCCGCTAGTTCCCACGAGCCGCCACTGATCAAAAGGTATTTCATAGAGAAGTGGGGAAGGGGCTAGGAGTGTCTGGGCCTTACTACCTGTTACCTGTTATAAAGAAGATATCGAAAAACATTGATTACAATTAACCAAATCTGTTTATAAATGTAAAAATAATGATAATATAAACACTAAATCAATTAAGATTTCGAAAATATCAATTGGCAAAAATTAAATCATCTTTCATATTGGCAAATCTCACACCCACAGAAGGTGCAGC